ACCAGATTTTTATGCCGAATTGATGGAACGATGCTGGCATCCTGATCCCACTGAAAGACCAACTGCAAGTCAAATCGAGTATTGTTTGAATAGATATCTTAAAAATAGTAAATATAACAAGGAGAATATCGAATCAGCCGAACTCAAAAGAAAACTAAGGAGGGTTGGCAACAATGATCAAAACAAAACAAAAAAGGATTCATTTTTAAAAGTTAACCAAGATTCTGCAACTGTTAATTTATGTATATCAGCAGCTCTTGTTGCTAGAGGTAAGAAATTGATCTGTTTGTTCATTTATCATCTATTATTTAAATTTTATGATTTTATACTTACTAATTTTTATTTAATTTTTCATTCATAGCTGGACTGGGGTTCGAAGAAAATTTTGATAACAGTGAAGGATTTTATGTCATATAATACGTAAAGTTCTAAATAGAAAAAAATTTATTAAAAAAATCATAGGGGGTTCTGTAGAAAAAAACCGAAAATAGGCAACATGGTCCTATTTAAATAGGAGCATTTCTTTTTATTATTATTTAAAAACAATTAATTGTATTAATTGTTAATTGTAAATAAAAAAATGGCATTGAAACAATTTGTACAACATTTTAATTTACACAAATTGTATCATCGGAAAGAGTTGGAAAAAATGCTGTCAGAAAAAAATACCTTTTAAAAGACTCGATTATGTGGAATAATGAAAGAGCTGAAGTTTTGTATTTGCACTAGTGTTGGTTGCCAAAACTATTTTGAAGAGGAGAAAGTCAAAATTTTTTGATTTTCGAAACTCTAGTTTTGGCTAATTTCACACCACCAATTGGTTTCTTCTGTTGGAGCATATATATTATAATATTGTGCTCTATATGGCCATTCAACAGCATTGTGGCATACATTATTCCACTTGAAAAAAGGGATGTGATCGGTAATTGAGTCATCGAAAATACAAATGGAAAAACCGTGATAGTAAATAAAAGTTTCGTAATTAAATTCCGCAAATATATTAGTCGTGTGACATTTCCCTGAGGCTTGCTTTTCTGTGAAAATAAATTCGAAATTCGTGTCACATGAAGTTTTTTTAAAAATATCTCGTTATTTTTATAATAAACTCGAAATTCGTTGTTAGACTAAAATGAAAGTATTCCATTAAAGCTTTCTAATGAATACTTTTTCATACCGAAAGGTCACCCCTACATGAATTCACGGCTATTCAAAAACGGTATTACTTTTTCACTTCAAACCTCAGATTATTTCTCAATATCGCTTT